GTTCAAAATGTCCTTTTGCCGACCCTTATTCCATTGGATTTACTAGAAAAAGAGAAAGAACATGTGGCTGGGTTTAGTCCCGAATGCTTTTATGTAGAAAGAATTGGAGCAAAAAAAATGGAAACCCCACTAGTTTTACGACCCACCAGTGAAGTAATGTTTTACGATTGGTATCGGCAGATTCCCCATAGTTATCGGCAATTGCCTCTCTTGTATAATCAATGGTGTTCGGTCTTTCGGGCCGAAAAAAACACTACTCCTTTTTTTCGGAATACGGAATTTTTATGACAAGAAGGGCATACGCTCCACTCTAATGCCCAAGAGGCCCGTCAATTTACCTTAAATATTTTGTCCGATTATCAAGATTACGCCGAAAATATACTTTGTTTGGGAGTAATAGTCGGACAAAAAACGACCGGGGAAAAATTTGCCGGAGCCCTTGAAACCTACACAGTGGAATGCTTATTGCCGGACGGCCAGTGCTTACAATTAGCCACCAGTCACTATTTCGGAGATAATTTTTGTCGTTTAATGGAAGTAAAGTTTCAAAACAAAGACAACCAAATGCAACATCCTTTTTCTACTTCCTGAGGCACTTCTACCCGAGCCATTGGTGCTCTGGTTAAAGCCCATGCCGACCAGTGGGGTCTAATTTTGCCTTTTGAAATTGCTCCCGTTCAAATTGCGTTTATTCTTATCGGGGAAAGCCCAGAATTAATTAATTACTATCAAGAGATTTATGGTTTATTAAGTCGTCATTATCGTTGTCAGTTGTATAATAAAAATAAACAAGTTAATACCAACGTGCTCCAAGCCTACCAAGAGGGTTGTCCGTTCAAAATGATTATCGGCAAACAGGAATTAGAACATCAAGAAATTACTTTGGTAAGGAGAGATAATGTGGAAAGGAAAATTACTATTAATTTAGAAAGTAACGAAGCCGAGAAATATGTTTCCGCTTTTGAAAAATACGTGGAGGAATTAGGCGAAATTAACCAAGAAGTTAAAAAAGAGTCAACCAAAAAAAAAATGGTTGATTCAATTAGAAACGGTGAAAGAGCAGGAAGAATTTTTTCGGTTATCAGCCAAGAAATTCAAGAATTACAAAAAAATCTCTATCAAAAAAGTGTGGAGTTTCGCAACAAACACATTTTTTCAGTCGCTAATTTGGCCGAATTAGAGAAAAAAATAAAAGATGGAAGTAAGGGTTTATTTTTGGTCCCTTTTTGTAATAATTTAGATTGTGAATTGAAAATTAAGGAAAAGGTACCCTCTTATAGTATTCGTTGTATTGCGGGAGAGGAGAGAATAATTGCACCGCAAAAATGTCTTTTTTGCCAGTCGGCAGCCCAAAATAGAGTTTATTTAGGAAGGTCTTATTAAAAAATTATTTTT